GCCCTAAGTCCATGTATTAACCACACCCCCGGCCCGGTCCTTAGCCAATCTGCTGAAAGCCAATAGTCAACTTTAGATATTTTGGTTCGATGACTATGTACAAAAGAACGCACACGAGGCTCCTGGAAAACAATGGATAATCTTGATTTATTTTTTTATTTCCCCGGARCCTCGACTGCAATTCTTTTGTGCATGGTCACTGAACCAAAATATCGGCTATTGGCTCATAATTTTATTGGTTGGAGTAAATGCATAAAACACTAMCTAAATAAAAGAAAGTGCATTATTKGTCATTCTCAGAGAACCWTCACTAAAAGTCATTTGGTCGAATTTTCATCTCACTTCGTTTCAGTGAGTAATAGTGACCTCTAAATGCCCACCAAATGATACCTACACCGTATCGCTGGTTAGTTCCGTTAAGATAAAGCCCGTTAAGGTTCGTTGCGTGACAGCYARCGTACCACCAGGCACCATGAAATRMTTGAGCACAGTTCGAAWYCGATCTCTTGTCATTGTCACGATCTTTGGTRGTRAAYTGCATGTTGTTTTGGTACATAAAACTGTTTCCGGCATCACCTAAGCGGAACACAATGCAAATCGTCATCACTTCTACATCTGTCATCATCATCATCACCAAAGACTACATGATGAGCATCTTAATCGTCATACACGTTTCATTTGTCTTAATTATCATCATTGATATCACATGTCTCCGTCATATTGTTGTCACCATAACCTATAGTTTCCGCGAAAAGCATATTTTACCTAAATTGTCGGGAGCCGTGATAAATAAAACTACATGCCACTATCCCAAGGCATTGTTGTTMATCCACGACACGAATTTAAATTACTTTCAACATCACCACTTCCATCGACGTCATATATTTCTCTTAACAATTGATGTCATCATCATCGTCATTATTACCATTTAGTTCTTATTAGCAGCGCGCAGTCAAGATAAAATCGAAAATCTAGACCGCGGCATGGAAGTGCAAACCGAGCGCAGCCATGCAGCGCGCGCGGTCTACCCATAGAAAATCTGCCGAGACCGGATTAACCAATCAGATTACTCCATTTTCTCGCATCCAGGCTCCAATAAACACGGTCATATAATAAATTATRATATTGACTAATATTAGCTGGTATATCGCTCATACCTGAGTAGTTTCCACYAAGCGTAAGCGTGTAKTTGTCTGATTCACCAGCCACAATAAACGAATCGTACTCCGCGTATGTCTTGTTTCCATCGAAATCTTCCAAGTCAAATCGCAGTCGGTAGCTTCCTTGTGATGTCATATCATGAATGGCGTCCAGACCCAACCAGTACTCTCCGGACTTGTTACCAAATCCTTTCTTGTAACCGGCCCAGTCACGGAAAAAATCAACGGAGCCGTCAAGACGTTTCTGGATAACAGTCCAGCCTCCACCACTGGTTACCATGTCACAATAAACGTGAATTGACCGTGAAGGACTGGGTTTGATACGGAAGACACCACTCGCTGCGTTTTTAAAAGTTTTGCTGACCGAGGCACAGTTTTGATAATCAGGGAAATATTCCAACTAAAATTAACAGTTAAGTCAAAATCAGTGCAACAGCAAAGAGTTGGATGCTCTCTCAAGCTGATTACAGCTTCCCTCTCATCTTTCCCATTTCATAATAATGTTTAATACGGCCGTACAGCATACACAGCATAGGAGCCTAACGGGTAATTATTCATTTATTCAAATTAAGCTTATTTCTTCAAAAATTATAAAATGAAAAAATCCTACTGAGACCGAAGCACTTTGTGCGGCCGAGTAAATTTTGGACCGTGAAAATTCCGCACACTWCCAACAACCAATTGAGAGCTATCCTGGATTAAGTTATCATGAGTTATAAGCCATATATTATTTTTTAATTAAATTTACTGGGTGCTCCCTTAGCGTCCTCCTTAACCGAATAAAAATTCTCGCAATAGGCAAGATGATATTAATATTCAAGAAGAATCGAAAACAATAATATCAGAAAGCCAAAGTTATCCTAACGAATCAAAAGAAAGAATTTTGAGTTTCCATTTTGTCGGTCAAGTTGCAGTTGTTTGTTTGCTTTTTTGTTTGTTTTTTTGTTTTGTTTTTGTTTTTCTTTTCCTTGATAAACTACTTCAGCAATATGAAARAAGAGCTTACCGGTAGAGTATAGTGGTCGATTCCATCTACTGCAGTGAAGTTTTCAAAATATTCGTACTTGTCAAACCCCAGCAAATCGCACTCAAACAATCCCTGGGAATCGTTAGTTGTGTTCACATTCAATGAAATACAACTCGACTCGCCATTACACTCCCAAAGACAATCCGATGTAGTCTTCATCGCTAACTTCATCAGAGGAGTTCCAGACAGCTGAAAGTTCTCGTGACGAACGAAGTTTGCAAAGGAAATGCAGTTTTCGTTTCCTCGTATTTTCGGCTCTGAGAAAACAACTTGAGAGGCGACAAATAGAAAAAATACAGTTCGGAGGAACGAAAATTTCTGTTCCATTTCTTGAAATCTGTAAAGAGGTGTATGAAACGGCGACAAAGTCACAGGACTTGACAGGTCCTAGCCTAGCAACAGTTGGTCTGTAACTGTGACAWAACAATAGTTACGTAAACATTTTTTATTTCAAGAAAAGTGACGCTGCCCGGGAGATTGGCGACATTTCTACACCACAACATAGCATATTTGTTATGCAAAATCTCGAGAGAGAAACAAAAACAAGACCTTAACAATAACTTTTGATGAAAAATCTTATTGCAAATTTTTTTATTCAATAYAATATTGGAGTACTGACATATAACGTGATGAAAACCTGGAGCACAATTAAGTCTTCTTAATTACATTTTCTAATCAAACAATAACATATCAATCATGGCCTAAAATGATTGCAGAATACTGATGACCAACACTGCAGGTGTCAACTTGTAGCAGGTGCATGTGATACATGATTTTAAGGTCTTTTTCTCGCGCTCTTTTCCATGTTTTGAGCCATTTTGTGAAACTTTTGGTATATGTAGAGTTTACAACATAAGTGGCTATGTTGCATGGGAATCACACGGTCGCAAATGTTGTAAACGACTTTATGTTTATAAATATAAGACTGCTTCTTCTGCGTATCTAAGGTTTTTAATCTTTGAAGATTAAAAACCTTAGATACGGAGAAGAAGCAGTCTTCATTTATAAACAAATGCCTGCGTACAAAGAAATTCTGAACGACTTAATTATGATTTACAGTGAGATAAATGACGAAAAACGACAAATATTAAGTTAACTGTTGAGCGGTGTCTCTAATAAGCGTGCGCAATTTTCTGCAATAGAACACTATTTCGATTGATTATCTATACCAGCTGTCATRCAAACAAAAAAATTGATTAAACGAATCTTGTCCATTTAGAGATCCCTCGCATATGACGTCAATGAGCTTCGTCTGGGGAACAAAACAAAWATATTTTCCCCTCTAGAGAACATAAATCCATTGTTTTGTCCTCCAGTTGAAGATGCATCCCCATAAACTGCAAGGTGTCGATATACACCTATTACAAAAAACATTGTCGTCACCACGACACAGTCCACAGTCTTGAGCCTGCAAAGAATCTCGGGATTTCCATGAGTAATTAATATACAGAATTCAAAATATATTTTCCTATGTGGTTTGAATTCAATGGCGGCATACACTACTAATATACTACTGCGGGTATTAAACCCATCGAGCAAGTCTCGCTCTAATGAGACATTTTTCTTTGTGAAAAATGTTCCACGTTTTCAAACCGTAAGTGACCTAAAAGTTATATTCGCGAGAAATACAAGACAGAAACTGGTGTGGAAATGATTCATTTTTATTGGGACATTATGAGGAAGTTTCTTTGCAGGCTCAATACCGTGGACTGTGTCCTGGCGACGACAATGTTTTAAATAAGTGTGTATTGTAAATTATGATCGCTTATAAGCACAGAAAAAAAACACACCCATTCCTCAACACTTCCTATTGCAGGATCTCCACTAAAAGTCATTTGGCCGAATTTTCATCTCCGCTCGTTTCATTGAGTAATAAACACCCCTGAAGGCATACCAAATGACACCTTTACCGTATTCTGTATTATTATACAGTCCATTAAGGTTGCTTGTATGACAATCATTGTACCACCAGGCACCAGTATATTCTTGAGCACAGTTCGCATACGATCTCAGGTCATTGTCACGATCTTTGGTGGTAAATTCCATGTTCTTTTGCCAAGCAAGACTATCCCCAGCATTACCTAATAATAAAACCAATTAGTTGTATGATAATGGTGAAATGTTGGATGACACGAGTCAACATCACTGACGTCATAATCGCCAAGGTGATTATTATGGTCACGATTATAACTGACATTATATACCTTTTCTGAACTACAAAATCGTGGTGCATTGTGGTCTAGTTTCAGTACAATACCATTTTGGAAGCATCTCAGAAAAGGCCTATTATTACAATACAAGCTCTTTCCAAGTACCTTATCCCATCGTTTGGGGTAGGGGATAGTGGACGTCATCACTGCCATTGGCCCTTTCTGAGATAGCAGTTTGTATTGCATTCTAGTCTAAATTCGCTACAAAAATCCTTTGTTCATGTTGTCAAATGGCGTTGTTTGTGTTGAACCAAGGCCACAATGCACCGTGATTTTGTATTTCAGAAATAGATTAAAAAAAAGATAAAAAAAAGATAAAAAAATATAAAAAAGCATTCCTCATTAGATTCTCTTGATCATTCATCCAACATGCCGCCGATAGCTTTCTTCTTTATTTCTCAGTGAGTTCTTGGTCACGTGGTTGCACACTAAGAATGTGCAGCGACGCCATTTTCTTGAATAAAGCATGATGGGAGTTGTAGTCCTCGCACTTTTTATAAGCCCTAACAAAACTCCCTAAAAATATTCCCGTTTTTGTCTTTTGGTTGTATAAACATCACAACTTCTATTTTACAAAAAAACTTTTTTCATGCTTAATTGAAAAAAAAGGCGTTCCTGCTCATTGCCCCTTAACATTCTTACGAAATAATACGTAATAGCCGACTTGCGAATTTTGCCTTAGTAGTCAAAAACAAAGAAATCAAGACGAGGCGCCGTGCATAAACCTCAGTCAATTGTGAAAAACGCTTGTCTTTTCGCGAATGACTGAGCTTTATGCACGGCGCCTCGTCTTCATTCCTTTGTGTGTGACTACTGAGGCAAAATTCGCAATTCGGCTATTATTACCATATAAAGAAGACATAATTATACAGATCGGCAGCATCTTACCTGAGTAGGCTCCAGCAGTAAGCGTGTAGTTGTCTGATTCACCAGCCACAATAAACGAATCGTACTCAGCATATCTCTTGTTTCCATCGAAATCTTCCAAGTCAAATCGCAGTCGGTAGCTTCCTTGTGATGTCATATCATGAATGGCGTCCAGTCCCAACCAGTACTCTCCGGACTTGTTACCRAACCCTTTCTTGTAACCGGCCCAGTCACGGAAAAAATCAACGGAGCCGTCAAGACGTTTCTGGATAACAGTCCAGCCTCCACCACTGGTTACCATGTCACAATAAACGTGAATTGACCGTGAAGGACTGGTTTTGATAAGGAAGACACCACTCGCTGCGTTTTTCTCAGTTTTGCTGACCACGGCACAGTTTTCATACACTGTGAAGTAGTTAATCTAAAAAAAACCAGTTAAGTTGAAATTAGAATTGTACGAACTCCGTACTAGAGTAAAATCTGTTGGAAATTTACCAATACCGTGACTAAATAATTAAATTGTCACAAAGGCTAAATGAATTACTATCTTGGTTGTTGCCGCTTTCCAAATATCCAACCAGGTYTTTGCCAGTGGCCAAACATAAATTCTCCATGCGGCATTTTCATCAAAAGGAAATCATAATGGGGGTTAACGAATTGCTAAAAACTATAAAGCATGTGAAAAAAGATTTAAAAAAGATGAATGTCGCTTCGATTAAAAGACAGTGCTAAGTTATCCTAACGAATCMAAAAAAAGAATTTTGTGTTTCCATTTTGTCGGTCAAGTTGCAGTTGTTTGTTTGCTTTTGTTTTTTGTTTTTTTTTTTGTTTTGTTTTGTTTTTGTTTTTCTTTTCCTTGATAAACTACTTCAGCAATATGAAAAAAGAGCTTACCGGAAGGGTATAGTGATCGATTCCATCTACTGCAGTGAAGTTTTCAAAATGTTCGTACTTGTCAAACTCCAGCAAATTGCACTCAAACAACCCTTGGGAATCGTTCTTTGTGTTCACATTCAATGAAACACAACGCGACTCGCCATTACACTCCCAAAGACAATCCAATGTAGTCTTCAAAGCTACCTTCTTCAGGGGAGTTCCAGATAGTTTGAAGTTCTCGTGATGAACGAAGTTTACAAAGGAAATGTCGTTTTCGTTGCCTCGTATTTTCTGCTCCGAGAAAACAGCTTGAAAGGCRGCAAGCAGAAGAAATATGTACTGAACGAGCATTTCTGTTTCTTGAAAGTTTTGTCTACTTTGTTTATGGATAGCATTAATGATAATTTTCTGACTGTCTTAAAACCCTATTGCTGCCAAGGGCCGATCTAATCGGCCCGCACGACATACCTAGTCTTGCCAAGAGCCGATTAGATCGGCCCACTTGAGCCATCGCTTTTGATTGGTCAAAAACCCATGTTCTTTTGTTTTCTMGAYGAATCAAAAGCTTTGTTTATATTAACAAACCATCATGGAATCGAGGCATCGTATTTTTGAAGTCAAATCGAAGTGAAAACATCGATCGTTTTGTGGTGAGTTTTCGAGCAAATCGCGCGGATTTTCTAATAAATATGGAGGATTTTCGCATGATTCTTGTTGTCTAATTAGTTGAAAATATGTAGTTTTTAGATGTCTGATCCAAATTAAAGAAACGGCGATGAAAGCAGCGATATTTTAGCGATAATTCTGAGTATTCAGAGGAAGAATTGAGCTTTGATGATCAAAATAACGATGATTTTGTACCGAAAATGTGGACCCGTGTTTTTCCTCCCGAATGCAAAACTTGGCATGACTGGGAGACTCCCATCAAAAATTTGGCAAGAATCCAAAGTGTTTCGTATTGTGATAACGACCTGAACATTGTTTACCAAACGGTTTGTTTTTATTCATGTTGTTTTGCCAATTTTAAAATTTCACAGCAGTATTCGCTTTTCCTGACATAATGTATTATTATTGTTGTTACATAACATATTGTTTCAATAATTCAATAATATATTATGTAACAGTCTTTTGGAAAGATTAGGCAAGACTAAAAGTTGGTATCACACTTTGAAATTAATGTTTCACCTTATTCTTTATTGACAAATACTATCACTACTAAATTGTCATTTTCATTTCACGGTTAAATAAAAAGGAATTCTGGCTTTTATGATAAAGGACTTGGAGGTGATTATCGGCGCCATATGAGGTCTTTCTTTCACGGAAAATTTGTGTTGTCTTGGAGCATCTTCAAGGTAATGCAAACACAAGAAAACAAGCACACTGTAGCTTATAGACAGCTGTCATCAAACGTTAAGTAGTCTTTTCACAATAAATGATAAAAAGAAAATAAGTAATATCCTCCTTATGACGTCATAGGTTGAATGGCAACCAGTACTTGCTTGTTAACCCATTCTAGTAGTCAACCCATCCCCAGTAAAAATTCATCCACACATGTGATCCCCGCTTTTAGATGACTGTCGGTCCACCATTAGTTTCCATAATGTCGCAGTAGTCTTGAGCTGCCAGCGCGTTACTGGGACACTGTCAATGGATGACATGCGCGAGTAAACTTGAAAACACTAGGCTAGTGTTTTCAAGTTTATGACTCCAAGTTGGCGCGACATAAATCAGCTCGTAAACGTAAACAGATCTAGAATATCCAAAGTGTGTCAAAAGCACCACAAAATGATTTACCTCTAAGGTTATACTTTCAAAGACCGTTAGAGGTGAGACTGTTACTGCGCATGTCATCCATTGACAGTATCCCTAATATAACCACGTTTTCGATGGCGGCACAACAGGCAAAAAGAATCTGGCAACTTAAATGATAAAAAGGAATTCATTAAGTCATCAAAAGAGCATAAATGAGCAAAAATTTAGTACACGCACTCTAAAACTAATAACTTTTACACCAGAACTAACTTACCGGTAGAGTAGAATGTTTGACTCCATCGACTGWAGTGAGGCTTTTAAAATATTCGTACTGTTAAACTCGGCAAAACCTTGTAGTCGTCTGAGTTCGCACTTTGGATGAAACGCAACGCAACTCTCCATTACACTCCCAAAGACTAAATATCCATGCATTATCACTGACATTTTCGCAACTCTCAGGAAGCCCGATAAAGAGTAAGTTGCGACGGAGACTACGAATAATGAGGAACGGTTTGAAAACGACCTTACGGACACGGACGCAGAGTCCACGTTKATCAATAGACACGTGGTTTTTCATAGTTTGAGCGTGTTTATCCACTGGATTAAACGTATAAAAGATACAACTTTACAAGTCACCTTTACAAAAAACAAACCTATGTTGAAAACTAAGAGCAAATACAGCACAGATTATCGTAAAAAATCACTTTACTGACAACTTTTGTAAAATATGAACATGCAGTTTGCACTGTTATAATTCATTTACAGTTTTTAAAAAATCACTTTCCGCGTAACGTTAACTGTAATTACTGACTTAACGACCGAACAGGAAATAATTATAGAGTTCTGTCCAATTATATAATAATTAAGTCTAACAACAATTATTGTGACTCTTAGAGAAGAAGTTATATATAACCCAACATTTTTGCATGTTTTTGCAATGATTTGTACTCTTTGTATCTGTATTTTTTCAGTTTTTTTTTTCTTATTCGTGCAATGTTATGTTGCTTCTTTTTGARTTTCGTGGGGCATGATGGTCATGTGAATTTAACACAGGTAACCCAACTAATAAACTACCAACCATACTTGTACTTGAATTCTGTCTTGAGCAAATACTTGATGTTGATTTGAGAAACGTCATAGACGATGTATCTAGGTTTTATGTTAAGGAACGTATTGTTAAAATAACATATTGCCCGGTCATCATTACTCATCATTATCATGACAATCGTAATGACCTTTACCCAAGTTGGTTCTGCAGATCCAAAGCGAGGCTTTGGCTAGGTCGTAACTTTTCGACGTGTTCGCAAYAGATGTAGAAAATTGTAAGAGAAATATCAAAGGGAAAAGTTGTATTYGACTTCAGTTGTCATGCCTATTCATGAGTCTAAGCAGTCAAGAGAACTTTTTATAAAATAACCAAAAGATAAATCGTTATGAAAACTGTGGATGCAATGCCTAAATAGCAGGACTAGACAGAATAGACTCTAACTGACAACATGTGAGTTTGTAGCAAACACTTTGCAGCCGAATTATGATTATMAAAGCAATTGCACAGCAATTTTCTATATCTATTTTGAACACGAGAAAACGTTGTGACCAAGCCAAAGCCTGGCTTTGGTTCTGAAGAACCAACATCTTAGGAAAAGGCMATARCGACRAAAGCATTATCAACATCATAATTCATCATCATCGGCATCATGATGRCGTACAAAAGYATTTCAAAGGATACTCGTTGTACAGTAAGCTTGTCCTGTCGACGCCAGAGTCGGTACCTTTTCCCTTTGGCACTATCGTCCCRTCGTCTAGWGTTATTGAGCCACCGGGGTTAGGGTGGGTACTGCCTAGACCTAGACACATAAAATGTATAGTCATCACTATTACAGAACACAACTAATTGTTATCATTATCACAACACATTATGTCTTCATCATCATCATCCTAGTACCCAGATCATTCTCGGTTTCCCAACGGAAAATTGAAGACTCTGGTTTGAGACGAATGAGTCTTTGATTTGATTGGTTCAAAAATTCCCATGTACCATCAGTATGCCATATGTCGCACGAGCAACATTCTCGGTCTTCCTGTATCGTTTCAAACCAGCTCCTTTGTTTTTCCGTTTGAAAACCGAAAACGGTCCGAGTAATAGAGCGCATCATCATTACCAACTTATGCATCGCTATCAATACCATTACTGTTTCGCCGTACCTTTTACGCTGTGTTTTCCTTTCGGTAGTTTGGTGATAAAGCTGGCATTTTTTAACTCGTGCCTAAGGAAGATTAATCAAAAACATTATAAAAAGTGAGTAAGTGAACATAAATGTACTTCATCCACGAGTTGTCTGACTGGACTCTCACGTAAAGTGTCCCTTATCAACCCTAAGCCTTCCACAATGGCGCCTCTCCAGATTTTTGCTTGTTTGTTTGTTTGTTTTTCTAGGTTTGGGCTACCTGAATTCTAATATCACTGTAGGGAGTTATGTCACCTGAGGAAAGAAATGATCCCAGCTCGGCAAAGGTGATACCGGAGAGATCTCAAAAGGGCGAAATAAAGGATTTATTGAGAAGGAGGCTAGTTAACCCTAACTCACCATCACTTCATAGCACTTTTTTTCTCTACACGCCGTACACTAGCATTACAGCAAATATAGTATATTCCAAAATAAGGCAAAAACTAGCTTTATTTTAAAAAAATCCAATAGCTTGACAAACAACGACACATAAAAAACATTTGTAGATTGGTGACTTACATATTTCCAAGAGCAACTTCACAGAGGAGAAGAAGACCCGTGTTATTAGTTGGCGTAGTGCGRCAGTAGTTAGCAGACTGGATGATGAGAAACAACATTGCTCAGTTTGATTCATTTAGTAACATCAAAGAACATGATGAAAAACAATGAAAACTTACCTTTGATACCATATCTGTTAAAAGAAATAAGAAAACGTTATGAAGGTATGAAAAACTACTTCACGCAAAAAGGGGTTTGTTCACTTACCTGCAAAATAGACACCTTTGCCAAACATGTAGCCAGTCTGCAAATTAAAGATAACTAGATTTCAACCTCGTTCCCAGGCTTAGAACGAGGTTGACTAGAGCGCGCCTGTTTTGAGTTTGAGTTATTAGAGAGGATTTTTTTCTGTTTATTCAACTATTCACKATAAATTTAGTGTTTAGACTCTAACGCAGAAATTTGAGCGATGCTTACCACAGGGGCCTCGGGAGGAGCAATGCGAAGCCCTTGAGATAGGATTCCAGCATAATTTGTGTTCGATGAACCGTGCCATAACAGCTGACGATTGTGGAGCTCTTTRAAMGGCTTGTACCTGGACGCTTCGCCATCTCKCTCCACTTTGAACACCTGGTTAACAAAGGGATGTTTTATTACTTTAATGTAGAGATCTCTCCCTTTYGGCACCTATAATGCACCTTGTCACTGACAATCGGTYATGAATATCGTCGCCACAATCACCATTAATACCGCACTTATACAACCATTGTCATGACAACCATCACCATCGCCGTGGTAACTATAATCATCACTGTTATGGCAACCATTGCCAACACTAATGTCATGACAACTATCACCATGACAACCATCATCATTATTATCATGTATCAAACTTACATCGAGCAGCTTCAGTGAATATTGCTGGTGAGTCGCGGCGTGAGTGTTCTTTACGTATTCTTTGATCATTTCAAACTCAGTTGAAGAATGCTCCAAAACCTAATCAAACAGAAAAATTTACTGATGTCCTTATTATTTTATTTAGCTGTATACAGCCTTTTGCAAAAATTATGAGAATTGTTGAAATATCTAAATATCATAATATCGAGTGCATGATGGGTAATCCCGCGCGATGCCCTTTAGTCCCTTGTCTTTGTAGTTTAGTTTTTTTTTGGCGACAGACTTATCTGTAGTTCTGAACATTTTCTCGATGTCAACAATGAATTATTCTAGCAAACCCGCGTGTTCCGGACAATATATGGATATGGATATTATGATATTTAGACAATTCTCATAATTTTTGCAAAAGGCTGTACTGTAGCTTAAGTGACTAATATTTTGATATTAAAATAATATATTGTGAGAATAAAGGAAAAATTGCATCAGAAATACCTCTAGTTTTGTATTTAGTTTTTCGTAGTTGAYATCRATTGGRTCTTTCTCGTCATCACCACCGCTTTTCAGCAGGCTGTAAGCGACTTCAATCTCCAAGAGATTGTCGAGCATACTGACTTTGGACTGAAATATGAGATGGCTGTTAAAAAAACACCTTGGAAAAATGACTAAATGGATAGATGAATATATGAAAAGATGAATGGATGATCAAATGAAAGGATGAATGGGATGTATAAACAAACACTGAATGACATGGAAAAGTAGAGATATAAACGGAAATGTTTTGGAGTAAGGATGGTGTCAGAATGTCTCCGAATTGTTGTCCATTTATATTTCACACAATACTGTTAAATCAAAGATAAAATGAAAAAATAGCCCGAATGAATGCATGAATGATGAAATGGCAGGATGGCTGATTGACTGACAGATGAATTAATACAGGAATGGGAGCATTCCATCGTGACCTACGTTGATAAGATCCATATTGTCCAGCAGCGCCGGTTTTCGCATCCCAAAATCATGAGGAATCAGCGTGTAGAATCTATTTGAGGCATCCAAGATACCATTTGCACTGCCTCCTTCAGAAACCAGCTGAATAATTGAACACAAAAATGAGTAAAGCACAGTTAATTCTCGCCTTACGGACACTCCGCTATTACAAACACCTCGATATTACGGACAAGAAATTCTGAATCCCGGCGAAAAATACAAAGAAATTACTGAAAGTAACACCCGTTACTACGGACTCTCGCTACTGCGGACACTAAATAACGGTCCCGAGGGTGTCCGTAATAGCGAGAGTTGACTGTACAAAGTTAGTTTCTTCAGCAATATTTGAGGTATGAATTTTAGTACTTGTTTAGACATATGAACGGTAAATACTTCATTTAAATATGATGAACGTACCCGTTGCGCTTCACCAAGGGTGCTGTAGGCTCGTTCAATCTGACGACGAGTTAGTTTTCCAAGAGGCATTTTCTTCAAATCAATCTAAACACAAAATTTCAATAGAACATTTTAACGACATATTAGTAAATCAATRAAATGATTTAACTTTCTCGCTGGACAGTGTCATACTAGTTTCGTCGGTCTCTACTAGCAATTTTATGAGTCAAGGGTGGATCCAGAATTTTCTTCAGGGAGGGGTGCAGGACGCTTTGAGAGGGGACTGCACTTAAAGAAGTCATGACCAAAGAGAGACAAAAATAAGGGTAAGTATTGAACGATCTCAGGAGGAGTTGCGCACCAATCACTGAGCTGGATCCGCCCTGAAGCGACTGTTTTCACGATGTTGTCATTTGACGACTGAACCACAAGTCCATTCTGGCCTTGCGAACACCCTGATATAACAAACATCCTGTTATTAAGCCCATAAGGTAGTCGTTAAAACGCGGATAGTTGCMAGTACCACGGAAAAGTGGATGTCAAGTTGGTATTTCTCAATTGTTTCTCTACTGGCACTAACAAACCTCAAACTCCACCATGGCTTTCTTCATTGATTCCACGTCAAAGATCATCTTGATTAAACTCTGTAATTCTTTTGGTAGTTTAGACTGACTTCCGGGCGCAATATTGTTTTTCTTGAGTTCTTCTTCATCCTGAAAATGAACAAGAAATAAGGCAAGAGTCCCGTTACTATAGCATATATTGGCCTCTGATTGGCTTCGGATATCAATAATCAACTCTTGAGTGTTCAGCCCGAGTTCAACCAATCAGTCCCACTGTTCAAGTATAAAAAGGGCGCGAAATTAAGTGTCTGCGTGCGTCGCCACTTCCAACTATCTTACCTGTCCATAGTCAATCTCTAGTGGATAAAAACGGTTAGGGTGTTTCACAAACGATTTTCTATTTGCCCAACTGTTTCCTGAAAAAGAAAAATKAATRAAAAATTAATGGYACATGATCAAAAAACAAAAAATRAATAAATAACCGAACGAATAATTGAAGGAATGGATGTTTACATATAACTYCAGGGGCTCCTGACCTGTTTTTTCCTCGTATAATTCACAAAATCTTTGTACGGCATCCSTCTGAGATCCGGGATCCTAAAAAATAGTTCACATAAAAGTTACTGTAATTGTAAAAGGACTTTCAAATCAGTGAGAAATATGTCTTTTATTTCTAAACTTCCAATTCATAAGTCAGCCATTCTTCATGTTCTACATTTCGTCTTTCTGTCTGTATGCCTGTTGCTCTCTGTGTTTCTTTCTTTAATCTATTCCTCACTTTCATCCAAAATCATTCAAAAGAAATTGTTTAGTTGAGATAAGATGATAAATGTTACAATCAAAAAGATGAAAAATCACATATTTGTCATAAAAAGCATCCATGCAGGTCACTAGCTTYTCTTTGTCTCTTCAAATTTGTTAGATATCTCTTTACCTCAAGCTTCGTCCCTCCAATCGACGTCCCTACACGYCCCCACGAACGAAACAAGTAACACCTACAAAATATATATTTTAGAACAATAAAACAGTGTAATGAGGTCGTGTAATGAATTGCAGTTTATAAGTAAAGGAAATTGAGTTTCAGAATGATGTTTTGAATGCCACTCGGAAGTGAAATCCTGCCAATACACTAGAAGAACACATTTCAATCAAATGGTATAACATAAGTCAGTAGTTTCTTTTACTCACTCGTTGCCTCTATCTTCCTTCAATATCTGTAGTTTGTAATAGGAGTTTGTCCCTCTGACAATATCAACTAATCCCAGTATGGCATTATACACTTCACCCTTTACTTCTAACACATGACAATCATCCTCTAATCCTGGTAAGAACAAGAACAAACCAATTACAATATGATAAATGTAGTAACTAGAAAGTAATATGACCATATCATTTTATAAGGCATCTTGAGATGATGTAACATGCATTGTAACAAAATGTAATTGGCATTGCTAGAATAAAGGTCAGTAAATAATATRTTTTTACCGGATTCTGGATCAACAACTGCACCTCCYTTCACAGATAAAGTCACTTTCTTTTCATGCACACCTGAGAAATACAAACAAAGGGATGASCACAGGAGCAAAATGCTTTCTGGGYTTCCTGTGCTAGCTGGCAAATGACAAGACCCAGGACCCAGGATAATAAGTTCCTTTCTCCCTGGCTTTTTACCAAAGGAAACCCAAAGATGTTAACAYAAAGCAGTGATGGCATTGGTCAATATTAATATGGGGTCCAGTTATGATAGATAACATTTGTACATGGTACCTGATGTGAACCTCGCAGCTGTTTTCTTGTCTATTGAGGAAGCAGCTGGTCCATCTACACTGGTTACGCCCTGTTGATGTAAGTGACAGATGTCAATCAATCAAAGATTCTATTGCATAGTCCACAAATCAATCTATCAATCAACCAACAGAAGATAACAGCTATCACAAATCTTGATCAATCAATCAATCAATCAATCAACCGATCAATCAATCAATCAGTGTGTCAATCAATCAATTAGTCAATCACACACTTAGTTGTGTACAAGATAAATTTAACACCTTAAAAAACTAGGTGAAAATACTTACTGACATTTAGGACATTACTCCTCCAACAAAGGATGTCTGAAGTGTCAGTAAGTTGTTTCACCTACTTTTTTATGGTGTTAAATTTATCTTTTTATACAAATGTTTCTTTAGAAACAAGGAAGCACCTCACACTAGTTTACCGCTAGTTCCTACCAATCACACACTCACTCAATCAGCTATTTAACCAACTCCTGAGTATGCTTATCTATGTTTATCTATTATTCAATAAGACAATTGGTCAATCAGCCAGTCATTCAATATGCCCTAGGCTGCAAAACATTGATAACGGGTACTATGGTGAGCTATTGCAAGGGAGCTTATTCAAACCATGGGTTGTTTTMAATCTTTTCAGTCAATGAAATCATTAATCAGCCAATAAAACACTAACTGTATGCATGACTTACCTTGTTCTTTCCCCATGGCACAATGCTGTGCTGTGGTATTTTCAGTTCAGCACGGCCATTTCTAACTGCTTCAAGAAAGTCTTCTGTTACAACAGGCACATCAGATGATTCTGCATCTTTCATCTTTTTGCTCTTCTTGTCAACCTCAGCTATACAACAACAAATACAAAACATCACAAATCACGAGACTGTTTGTGTCTTTTTTATTTCAGGCTGGTACACAAGAGGGAGCTTGCTCCAACAATATGCTCAAAGAACAGAACATTTGCCCTTGAGGCTTGCTCTCTCATATTTACATGTAACAAATTTGATACAAAGGAGCAAAACTCAGGAGTAAAAGTTTTGTTGCACAACATTTTTTTTCTTGAAGTTGTTTGTGCAGACAACAGGACTTTGCTCTAGTGGCACGTTGCAGGAGTTTGTTTCAGGGTCGCCTAATATATAATTCTTTCGATTTGTGAAGTGGAGTTTAGTTTGTCAATGGTGAGTTCTATGTTATAGAATTACTTACCAACACTACTTATACAGCAAGTGACTTTAGGGTTGACTTTCTCAACAACCTTCCCACCAAGTTCCTCAACCACATTGGTTAATTCTGCCTATTATCAAAAAATGGTAAGTAAACATTTAAACAGGAAAATCTTCATTGCCAAAGTTCAGGGGAAATACAACATGTTGGTCTCTTTAATACAATGAGAATCCTTCCTCCAACAAACCTTGCTTTTCTTGAGTTTTCCAATGATGGCAACTTTCTGGTTTAGCAATGGTTTGTCTGGTGGTGGACCTGAAGCTCTACAAAACACATATATAACAATGTAAGCATGAGTACTAAGCAATGCCTTCATTRGATGGCCAGCAAATATCATTGGAGATTAGAGGAAACATGCATAGTGCAAAACAATGTTGGATTTACCCTGCAATTGCTTGAGCAGCCTTTTYTATGCTTGCTTTAGGGAATATTCTCTTTCTCCTCTTAACTTTTAGCTTTTTTCTGTGACAAAAAAGTACATTAATCACAAACTTCATTTGCTGTATTTGAAAAGAAAGGGCATACAATATCATTATCATATTGCTAAAATTATAAAACTATATTATAACAAAATATATCATATTTACAGAAATTCAATTTCTTCTTTGATTTCTTTTGATATAATCCAGTTTGCTCTCTTTGGATCATGGGTTGTGTAGGTGCACTTTGTCCATTCTGACATGTTGCCAGTGCATGCATAACAGTCATGCCTGTAAAACAAAACACAATGCATGAAGCATCAGAGAGAGATTCTGTGGAGCTACAACACAGAAAAGAGATTTATTTAAGAAAATAGAGGAGTAGGAGAAGAAGATGAACCTCGAAAAGTAGGAGTGAAAGGAAGAAAGGGGGTAGAAAGGGAATGGAATGCAGAGATTTAAATGAAAAGATACAGAAGAAAGGAATAATAAGAGGATTATGAAAATCACAAAGAAGAAGGAAAAAAGAAAAGAGAAAAAAGAAGAAAAGAGAAAAATTATTATTTTTAAATGCTATGAATAAGGAAATCTGATGAAGATGTACTACTAGACAAAAGCCAGCATTTGTTATTCAACATTTAGGTGGCAGAATATGAAAAAATCCTTTCACCCATTACATACTTGAACACTAGACGGCCATCTTTACACTCTGGGCAAGGCAAAAGCTGACCAAAAGCAATGCCATCTGCACAGCGATCAAGAAGCTACAATGAATAATGAAAAATAACAGTGACAAAGATGAGATACACTGATAGCAGTTTTAACAATCGACAACACATCAGTTTGTTTGTTTTTTCAAACTTAGCTTCTGATACAAATTCTACTTAGGGGGGAAGGGGTGTTGGGTGCTAATTGTCCTTCATGGCAGCACGGTTGCTGAATTGCAAAAGACACAGCTCTGCATGCTCTYAAAACAAAACAWAACATAACAAATMTCTGTCTTGATGTAAAGAAACAAGTACATGATAAAAATATTCAACTCACTGAAGTTTCTCCACCCTGTGTGCTCAGACCATTATCTTCTAGCATCTCTCGTAGTGTTGCATTTGGAACATGTGCAGTCAAGTCATCCCTAATTTTCCACAGTAGTTTGCTTTGTTCCTATCCACAATAATTGAATTATTAGCACCTTAGTTAAGTACATGCATCAATATTAACTAAAATATAGACTTTATGTGTGCCAATGCTCCATGTACAATATCCATATGATTGTAGCTATAATCTTTGACAAAATCCTTGGACCATTCCAGCAGATTTTCTTTCTGATCCTAAATGCAATGTTGTCATTGATCATGTTACCATAGTACACAAGCATCTAAAACAAGACCCAACATTGATGATAGTGGGCTAATTAAGGGGGAGAACAGTGAAAAAATAAAGGAGAAAAATGTTAAACTGAAGACAAATAATTCTATGGTCCAAGGTATTTTGACAACGACTGCATGTGATGAACTATATCAAACATTATTTTTTTCCTTATTGTTGCATTTTACAAAACCAATATAACTTCAGTAACCTTCAGTGYCTTTTCTTCTGCTTCCTCTTCCTCTGTCTTTTGTTTCTTTGGAGGTTTTTCCTCTTCTTCCACTTTTCTTTTCTTTCCTTTAGTAGCTTTGCTGGCCCCAAGTTTCTTTTTGAGTAAATCTTGATCTTTTTTCTCTAATTTTGAAAACCCAGTAAAGCAGTCTGCAGTAACAGTTAGATCAACCTCAAGGTTCGTCCTTTCTTTGACAAAACAGTCAACATGATGCCATCGGGGTATAAGTCCAATGTTCATTGGCGCATTAGAATCAGAAGAAGGCTCCATCATCTTAGCAAGACGAAGCTCTCCCTAATATAAAACAAATATCAAATAAGGAGCTAGGTAATAAAACAACAAATAATAATAACAAAATATCRAAAAYAAAARTTACCTTTTCAATTTTGTCYCCRCAACCTTTGCAAGAGCTTCTGCTTGACTTGGCATAYTCTGCTATCAAATCTGGATCTTCAGYAGCAGCAGAAGCTGTAGCTTTTGATCCCTTTGTTGTTTTACTGCTCTTAGGCTCTGYAGTACCACCAATGTTGCCCTTAATTTTTTCTTGGTCTTCCCARCGAAGAGATTCCACTCCTCCAACTTCGCTGACACTTTTTGGTTTGACTTTTTTGAAAAAGCAGGAGTAATGGAACCAATTTGGAATCTAACAAAAAGTTGACATCATTTGAGTTGGAGTTAAAAGAACCAACACCATTTATGTCATAAGCTTCTTAGGGAAGGGATTGYATCTCCCTACACAGTTTGTACATGTTGGTAATGGCAAAACTTTGTGGCTTTTAAGCCTGTGTTATTCAAGAGATAAAATTACAATAACTGGCTGTTTGAGTAAAGCAGGCTGCGAAAAGTTGTCGTGAATATGCCTTTTATTGATAAATTTACGTTACGATGACTTTGTTTTGGTCCACGTCAGCATGAGAGGCTGTCTATCCACAACCACTTTATAAAATAAAAGTATGTATACATATGTTGTTGTTAAGCACAAAGTAACACTACAGAAACATGAGTTATAAATTGTTATATTGGTGAAAAAGACCTATGTCTGGCAAGCTTAATATTCGATTCAATTCAAAGCCTAAATTTCAATATGGCGCAGGGCATTAATATAATTGCGTGAAACTGCACTCTATCAATTACGTCTATATCTAGGGGAATATTGTATTGTTATCAATTCCCTTGGCGATGGGAGCAAATGCATCAGTGCAAACGGAAGAGAACAGTCGGAAGACGCGATATGGTGCATGCAAGATAGGCCTCGGTGCCACCGTTCGCGTGGTTCCACTCTGCGCCAATTAACTGACTTTGATTCAGTAGCTTAATTCACATTTAAAGCCTTAGAATATGATGTAGACGATTTGAAACATCTTACCTTTCCATCAAAATGCGGTGACTGCAAAGATAATTAAAAAACTAGAATCAGAACCAGGAAAAATACCAAATAACTAACGAAATGCCTTAAGTTTGCAAGTTTGAAATAAACATCAAGCTATCCAATGTTTTACCTGGACCATCTTGGCTAGACGAAGCGAATCCTTCCCAATATTAACCTTGCACATTTTACACGATGATCGGTTAGATTTTGCATATTCAGCCTTGAAAGGGAGATCKTCAGCCATAGTTTTTAATGGAGAGAAATTTTAGGTGCAAGGTAAAATGGATGCCACAAGCGAGCATAACAAGCAGGCGTCACTAGCAATGTTTGCGCAGAARACTGTAGCGAGGTTATTATTGGTTGAGATTTCGCGCCAAAATTTAGCGTAAGATACGAGAGCACGTGGATTAAAATGCTTGTCATTCGATACTTCGGCATTTATTATAATGAAATCATCATCAAAAACATTATTGAATTATGCTGAAAATTGTTATTTTAGCATCTAAGGGTGGACTTTTTTTTGTAAATTAAAAAAATAAAAGCTTTATTGGAGATTTTTCAAAAATTATATGTCTGGGAGTCAAAATCATTAACCAAAATCACAGTAAAATGTAAATCCAGTCTATAAAAGATACTTTACTGTATTTAGGTGCAGATAGTCTTCCTTTTGACCAAATTCAGTTAACAATTTAAAGCTTCTTCGCCGCTCGCCATAGTATACAATGGACTTGGCACTTAGATTTTTCACCGCTCTGGACGAACTCCCGGACAGAATGTCACGAAAAATTATATGTCCGGGAGTCAAAATAATTCACCAAAACCACAGTAAAATGTAAATCCAGTCTAATCAAAGATACTTTACTGTATTTAGGTGTAGATAGTCTTCCTTTTGACCAAATTCAGTTGACAATTTATAAAGTGCTTCTTCGCCGCTCGCCATAGTATACAATGGAAATGTCGAACGTTCGAGTGTAATATTGGAGTTTCAGAGGTCTTAACTGTGTTTAGTTGAATCCCGGCAAATCTTTGGCAACAGCTCAGTATCGGTCTTAAGAATTTCAAGAGATTTTTGTCGTGTTTTTATCCGAATACTAGAATGCCTGTCTGATATAAGAACTGTAAAACTACTGAATTTAAAATGTGATGATTTGGACAACAATAACGACAATTGAACAGCTTGGTGAAAGCCGTCACACTACACCGAACATCGGTATTCGGCCGCAAACTACCACTCAGCACCCATCCCACCCAACCCTCGTCAAATAATAAATCTACTGAAGAATGATTATGCAAAGCCTGTATCGTTTGCTAATTCCTGAGCTGAGCTCTGATTGGCTCGCTACTCCCTTTGGATTTTGGTGACGTCATATATTAGCATAGATCTTCACCCGATAGACTACCCCAATTAGATATTAGATATCTATAAGTGTCTTCATAGTACGATGGTCTAAGAGGGTAGCTAAAGGTATGCTCTAGTGGGCGGCTACCCCCTCACTCCCTGGCCTTTTGGTTAAGACTAAGTTTTATGTTCACTCGGGATAGCGTGGAAGAGCCGAAATCTCTAACCGTAACGTAAGCCGATTCGACGCCTCAGCTTCATAGAATGTCTCGGGGGAATCGTCCCATCTTTTTAGTTTTTTATTTTCATTATTTCTTAT